CCTGGATGCGAGCCCTCCGGCTGACCACCAGCCCAAAGCGGTTCTGAGCCACACACTCATAGTCACCCTCATCTGAAGGGCTGCCTCCCTGATCCAGCTGGAAGCGACTAATCAGCAAGGACCCATTGGCCAGCATGCTGGAGTGGGTGCTCTCTGGCAGCTCCACCCCATTCTTCCTCCAGGTGATTCGCACTGGAGGGGTCCCCTCCACCCTGCAGCCCAGCACTACAGGCTGCCCAGGGACTGCAACATCATCGCTTGGCTCCACAGCAAATGCCAGTTCAGCAGAGGGGCCAAAACCTGCATGGGGCAGGGGAAATGCAAGGATTAGGAGGGGTTAGTTTGCGAGGAGCAGACATGAAGAACACAGGGGGGTTCCAAGTTCCCCAGATCTGTGCACCCCATTCCCATCTTCTGTAATGCTAATTGGAATCTCTATTATACATAGAATTTTAATGCATTACAAAGCGCTGTCTCATGCAGTGTTTTACTTAATCAGCAGACCATCTCAGACAGTTATTACAAGGAAACTGAATATAGATAAGGAAATGGAAGCCCAGAGGTATTAAGTGACTTGTCTTAGGCGCTCACAGTTAATAGTTGCAAATCTGGGACCAAAAAACAAGAGCGGTTCCAGCACAGCTGCTACCACTTCTGTGGTCACTCTGGTTAAGCACCGCAGCCTCACAGACTTTTCAGGGTGTGAACTCGGGTAAAGTATTCTACCAGTCCCGGCTTTCCCATTTCTCATCTGTTTAAATGAGGAACAATAATGCAGCTTATGTCATAGGGCTGCTGAACATGATTAACAGACTCAAAGGCACTATGTAAAGTTAAAAGTTCTAAACAAACATAAAGTGGGACAGTAATAAATCATTGCTTCTTTTTGCTGGCAAAACCATCAGAGGCCTGGTCTGATACCCTGCAGAGAGCAGGGTATGCGGGCCCAATACCAGGTACAGGCTAGGCTATGGGAAGATCCATTGCCTTCCCCAGGACGCTCCAGGTTTTGGTGTTTTGACTGTTTGTCTTTGTCATAAAGAGAGATGATGGGTACCAAACATCAACTTTCCCAAAAGTCAGGAAGGGAGAGATTCCTAGAACCTTTACTTCCAGCAAACTCACTGCTCCTGCACAAGCGAAATGAGCTGGAAGAGGAGGGGGAAAGGAGAGAAGAGGAAGAGGGTGATCAGGGAATCAGGAGAAACCTGAAAGGGACGCCAAGCCCCCCAAACCCAGGTATGATGCCAAGTGAACAACTTCTCCAACGAGCAACTTACCAGACCAGTCATGACTTCACTCCAGGAGGAATGAACCCACAGGGTCTGAGAGGGCAGCCACAGACCCCTCCTCACATTTGCAGGGAACATGTCCGGGCTGGCTCCTCCCCAGGAGACCAGCTCCCCCCCCCCCCCCCCCCCCCCGCTGGCTGGGGGAGATGGGAAAGCGGGTGGGGAAGGCGAGGGGCTGGGGTAGTGGGCGATTCCCCCACCTTCGGGGATAGTTTACATTTGAGGGTCACACCCCTTCAAGCCTTGCCCGTCCTCCCCGGGTCCTGTGTTTCAGCGGCCTCGGTCCCCTGCCCAACCCCCGTACAGCAACTGGGGGATAAAGTTCCTTCTAGATGTGGACACGACACCCTGCGTATCCGGACCTGAGAGGAGAACCGATACCTCCCAGATGAGTGTCTGAGAACTTGCGGTGGGAAGGGAAGGGACTAGGTCTGTACCTCCCTCCCGTGGGCTGGGACCTTTACAGCCACTGAGGGAACAGGGCGGTGGTGACGGAGGTCCAGGCAGCAAAGCCTCCAGACCCTGAGCCTGGGGACAGGGGCGCTCGCGTGTGCACACTCCGGGGAAGCGGGGGGGCACGTGGGCATCCCCGCCGCTCGCCCGCTCTTGGTGGGCTTCCCATTCCCTTCCTCAGCAATCGGGGCCCCCTTGGGTCTCCCCTCCCCACGCACGGCCCGCCGGGTATCTTCCTCCTCCTCTTCCTCTGTCTGTCCAGCGCCCTCCGGGTCCCAGTCCCGCTCCAGCTGCAGTTGCGGCGTGCCCTCTCTCCCAGCGCAGCGCGCTCGGACCCAGCCTCAGCTCCCCGGTCTGCTTTGCCCTCCGCGGGGCTCCGCGCACCCCAGCTCGTCCCCTAGGACGGGACTCGGCCCCGAGGTCTGCCCGGCTCCCTTACCCTCTCCCCAACCCCAGCTCGCCCGCCCAGCTCCTGCTTTGCCCCACTCCTCGCTCCTCGGTCTGGGCTCGGGTCCTGCTCTGGGTGCTGGAGCCGCGGCGGGCGGAGGGCGGTCTCTCTTCGAGCGGCTCGGTGCTCAGCGTCCCCGGGCCGCCCCCGGCAGCCCGGCCTCGGGGCCGCCTCCCCGTGCCGCTCGGCTCCCCTTCTCCGGACAGTCCGTCCCGCCCGGGGTCCGCCCGCAGGCCCGCCCCTCGCGCCCGCTGACTCCCTGCTCGCCCTTCCCGGGACTCGCTCCGCAGCCGCCCGGCGCGCGGGCGCCCCCGCTCACCGTCGCTCGGCGCGGGCAGCAGCAGGGTCACCAGCAGCGGCAGCAGGAGCCGGGGCCGGCGCGGGGGCGCGGCGCGCGCAGCAGCCATGGGGCTCTCGGTCCGCTGGGCTCGGCGACGCGCGGCTCCGGGGCCTCTCGCGGCTCACAGCGTCCCGCGGGGCCGGCGCCGGGGCCGGGGCCGGGGCTCCGGCCGGGGCCGAGCCCGGGCGGCGGGGGGCTGGTGCCACATGCCTGTCTAGGAGCGCCGGTGGCGCAGGGCGAGCGCCGCTTGCGCCATCTTGCACCCGCCGCGGCGATCTGTCAGCCTCGCCCGGGATGCGCGCTCCGCACTCGCACCGCCCGCGCCCGCCCCGCCCCCTCCCTCCGCCCGCCGCTCCCCTCCGGGTCCCCTCCCCCAGCCCCCTCTCCCCGGAGGCCCGGTCTGGGGAACAAAAGAGCCGGCGAGCGCTTTAAGCGGCCGGACATTCCCGGCTGCGCGGCGGACTCGCCCCCTGCGCTTTGAACTGTAGCTGGAGCGGCCGAGGCCCTGACCCGCTCCCAGCAGGTCAGCCCCGCACTTGGGGGGCAGGGGATGAAGATCCAGCGGGCTGTGGGGTGGGTTCGGACTGCGGACGAACACGCAAAGCTGGGGGTTTACTCTTACCCACTCTTAATGCTGCACCCTTCTCCACCGTGTCCAACTCTGTATTTTCGAGATAATTCTCTAAAAGCTGCACAAAGTTGTCAAATATTCGGTTTTCAATGGGTTTCTAACCCTTCCGCCCAGAGGCTAGGTTATTTCGCTAGACTGGACTATAGAGACCGGGCCGTGGAGAGCAGACCCCACGGAACAATGAGAACGCTCAAGGAACCGGGTTTCCAACCCCAGTTCTGCCTGCTGTTCAGCCCTGGCAACTCAGGCAGTCTTTGGAAGCTCCTCTGAAAGATACTCATATCTCTCCTGCTCACCCCTATGGATACTTAAACGACGCAGGTCCTAACAAATTACCTAGTATACATTGAAAGTTAAAATTCCCAATAGCATTTCTATGCCACAAAGAAGACTCAATGTTTCAAGTCAGAGGACAGACAAGGAGACAATACAGGCCCCATGTAAGAATGTTACAGAAGACAGGAATGTCTCCTAGGAGTTACATACCCATGCTAGCCCAAGGAGATCTTGAATCTTGGCTGCTCACTATTAAATAATCTTCTGTTGAGTTCAGCATGACAGGCTAGTCCATCAAAATCATTGGGTAGCCACCAAGGTCTAGGAGCAGATTAAGAGAGGGTAGTCTCAGCCTCACGCAGTTGTTTACTCCTCTGGCATTGGACTGGGGCTGGCAGAGCAGTAACTGAATCTCTCTTCTGATACCAACTCTGTCATCTTGGAATCAGGAATATTAACTACTTAGAAAACTAACTTTGGTACAGACAAATAAGGAAGGGCAGGCCTCCAGAAATAATGTAAGTTTACTAATGGTGGGGTTTATACAGTCCAGAGAGTCCTTATGCCATAGTAGCAATTGGAAGATGAGCCTGGGAGGTGGGATTTGAGACATATGAGCAAGCAGTGGGAGGCAGTGGAGAAATCCAGGGTCAGGGGACCAACAAAGCCCCAAATCAATTTCATTGCCAGGAAGGGCAGGAAGGATGGGCCCAAAGTCCTGGCACTGCCACCTGCAGGTCTTGAATTCTCAACCATCCCTTCTTGGCTTGTCCTAGACTCCAGCAGAGGTCAAATCGGTGTCCTGAGTCACTGTCATTTTAAATTCATTTTGACAAGTGTTTAATTCTTCTTTATCACAACCCTTGGTCTGAGAGTGATATGCAAATAATGGCTATTCTGCTGCATGCAAAATGTGCTGTATCTCTCCCTATGATCTGTCAATTAACTGGGGTCTGGCCCATCAGTCACTTTGGGGGTGGTCCTGGGCAAGGCAGCCTCTGGTTCTTGGTTCCTTCTAGTAGAAAGGCATGCACGATCCCAGCTCTGTAAAGATCTTAGCAGAGCAGCTATCAACGATGATCCTGAGATGAATGAGGGGTGTGTGTGTGAGGGGGGTTTGTGTGTGACTGTGTGCCCATGAATGAGTTCATGGACACAGGGTATTTGTGAAAGTGAGTGTGCATGAGTGGGTCTCTGGCTTGGAAAAACAGTGTCCATATGTGTACGGGTGTGCAGTTGTGGGCAGTGTTGGAGACCAGAGAAGAAGAGCTGCTAAACCCACATCTCTGGAATTGTTCATTCACTTTTCCCTTGCATTTCTGGAAAGTTTAAAAAATGTGTACATTTTCCTAAGTTTAAGTCTTTTTCCTAAGTGCCTGTAGAGGAAGGAAGATGGTTCCTTTCCCATGACCTTCCTATGACCTAGGTCTTTCCCATAACCACCTACTTTCTACCCTCAAAAATCAACATTTCCCATCCTGGTATGAAATGTATTCTCTAGGGCAGAAAGGCTGAGGAAATTCTAGTCATGGGTTTCAAAAGAGAATTCCACCTTTTTGGAAAATAGTTTATTGATTCATTACAGGGACAGATACATGATGAATGCCTTGGCTTAACACTAAAGAATATCATATTTGTAAGTAACAAAAAAAAATGCTGGAAAAATAATTAAATAATATAGCATAAACTAAATACAACTAAATGAGCAGGTACCGATTACACTTGTCATGCATCAAGAAAAGGAAGGTTTTAAAATGAGACTCAAAAAACATAAGGCATCAATGGTAGGTGACAAAGGGATTAATACCCTGTAAAAGGCCAATAGACTCTTTTCTAATAAAAATACTCCTACAAAGACACAAACCTAACACTTCTAAATTACCCAGAGCCCAAATCATATATAATGCTAGTGAGTAATGGCCACTTTCTTATCAACTGTGAGTTATAGGCAGATACCAGATTTATTACTTATTTGCTTTTGAGAAACAATTTTCCACCCAACCTAATGGGTTATAAATTGTCTCATTTGCAGCTATTTAATTTAAACCAGAACCTCAGTGCCTGTTAAACAAGAACATGAAAAATGACTATGCGGTGTAATGCTAAGAGCCTACTGTTAAAACAGCCATTTAATCCAGGCAGTTTTTTCTTTGGAAAAAAAAAAAATCAAACCAGCAAAATAAAACAAGGCTTTTGACCTTCAGAGCAATGATGAAACATACAATGGTGTTAGCCACAGCAACGCCGAATGCTACAGAAATAGCACAAGTGACAATTCCATCCTTAACAAGATACAAACCGACATTAATAATCTTTAGTGTTATCATGGGCTGGTTGAAGGAGAAGAGGGGGAGGAAATGTAGGTGCGGATGTCAAACATGACTGACACCCGAGTATAATAAACACAGATGCTGAAAGGGTCTGAGGAAGCTGCAACTCCACTGAGAGACATTTCACCGTTTAAAAAAAAAAAAAAGAAAGACTGGTTATTTCTAATTTGGCCCAGAAGCCAGAGTTAACCCTTGATGTGCTGATCAGTTAAAAAGAGTCATTTAGAGAGAAAAGACCCCCACATTCTATGCTCCTATGAGAGGGTGAGGTGCAAAATTAAATGACAATGTTTTTGCTACACAGGAAATGAAAGTCAAGCCTGTCCCTGTGAGGTGGATCACCAGAAAATGACTTCAGGATTAAATGTAAAGAAAAAACAAAATGAAATGAGCCAATTACCCTTGTCCTGTGCAAAGACCTCTCTTCCAGCACCTCACAGGGTGAGCTCCTCTCACTCCCACCCCATCAGCTCATGTTCAAGGTGCACAGAGTGGGGAGCAGCCTGCTGCAGTGCCCCTAATTCCCACTTCCCTTCCCTCCTTTAGCTTCAGCTGGGAAGGTCCCAATCCCTCTATCCAGCAAAACTGTCTCCCTACATAGAAGGGAGACAGTAATTTTATCCTGAGCCTCGGGGTCACATTCCCCTTTCCCTGTCTCAAAGAGTCTTCATGTGGCTTGGATTCATCACCTCTGAGGAGAACCCTCCTATCTCAATCCCGGGGAGAGAGATGCCAGGGAAGTTGGAAGGTCTTTTCCAGACTTGCACTGGGAGTGGGCAGTCTGATCGGGGATGGGGCACCAGGAGGCATGGGGAGGACATGCGAAGTGAGCAGGTGGACACAGGAGTCATGCTTTGGCCTTGAAGCAGACATGAGGTAGTCATGTTGTCAGGGAAGGATGCAGAGATTGAATCCAGGGAGGGGGACCACATGACACAGTCTGGGAGAGGTGTGAGAGGCATCAGGGACAGACAGAGGGGACAGAGGAAGAGCAGAGAGGGAAAGAAAGTGCATCAGGGAGGAAGAGCAGGGCACTAGGCCCAGAGACGGATGGCCCACAGAGTAGTGCAGGGGAAGGAAGGCGGGGAGAGCAAGAGAAGGCAGGTTCTCAAAAGCAGGCACTTCCCAAATCGCAAAATGAAATGCAGCGTTGCTCTGAGGTGAGCCAGTCACCATCTCAACTTGGGCACTGGGGGCACAGGAGGTGGGGGGCGGTGCAGCTAAAGGTTAGGCATTCAGAGCCTGCTTGCTCTCAGCCCAGCTGGACAGGAAAACGGACTGGGGCTGTCTTTGTCAGACAGGACACTGGAGACACTCTCAGAGTGTGTAATAAAAGGCTGGGTGGTGGACATGGGGGGCCCGCGGGGCTGGGGACTGACCACTCTGGGGCACTATCCTAACCTGGAGGATCAATGAGGCTGTAGTGACCATGGCCTGGACTGAGGTCCAGGTGCAAACTCACGTGCTCCACACATGTGCACATCACGCAGAGCTGTGCCTCATGTGTCTCTCACATATCATGTGTCACAGAGAACGGAGGGAGTGAATGATTCATTTCTCCCTCTCCCCCAGCCAAAGCACCCTGGGAGGCTCCAAATGGCTTGATGATGTTCAGTATCCACACGCACACACATGTACATGCATGGCCATACGTGCCATGTCCCGTGATCCATACCAGCCTGTCCCAAACTGCACCCTCTAGGGGAGCTAAGTAGAGGAGGGCACTGGGGCTCTGGGCAGGCCTGGGCTGGCTCCTAGAGGGCAGGAGCTGTTGGCTGGAAGCTATTCCTAGACTCTTCCAGAGTCTCACTGGGCTGGAGGTCCGGGTAAGGGCAAGAAGCACTGGCTGCCTCTGGCAGGCAGGTAAGTCTATCTGGCCCAGCGGTTGCCCGCTCACACTCTCCCAGGTGCCTGTCCAGCCAGCCTTCCCCTTGCCCTAGATCTATAGCACCCAAAGTGAGGTCGGGGGCCTCCAGAGGCAGGGGATCCTCAGGTTCCAGGTCATGGAGGTGGAGGTTAGGGTTCCCTTTAGATGCACTGAAGTCGGAGTGGACAATGACATCAGCCTCCACCTGATTCCTGCAGGCCGGGGGTGGCTTCTTTCTCCCGTTGCCCTGGGCAGGGCAGAGAACACAAAGACAAGGTGACCACCAATGAGAGTGATCATCAGAAGAATGACCAGATATTTGGGGTAGAAAGAGACGATTCCCATCCCCCTTCCCCAGGGAAGTTACCACCACGGGTCACCAGAGAACTCACTACTTGCTCTTTGCAGTACGGGGACCCTTCTCTCCTTTCTCCCAGGTCACTGACCTTTATGGCATCATACACCAGAGCCTGAAGCAACAACGTCTGCCCAGTTCCAGCAGGGGGCAACAGGGCCTGGGTCAGAGAGGGCATGGCGCCTGCCTGGGGTAGCTCACAGCCTGCCCAGGAGCCTGCCCAGTTTGGTCCACCTGGCTGCGCCCAGGAGATCTGCACAGGGGACAGAAGCAGAACACTGAGGGGCTGGCTGGGAGAGGGAGGCATAAGAGAGGAAATTAGATGGAGCCCCCTCCTCAGACTCTTGGTCCCCTTGCTATCTCCCTCCCAGGACTACGGGGAGAGCACAGAATGGGCTGCATCTGGGGGTGAATTTAAAGATAGAGAAGTCTTCCTGCAGAAAAGCCCAATGCTAGATGCTCTGACAAAGCCCAGAGGTGTTCAAGCCAGGCAGGTTCTCCTTCACCACAGAGGCAGGGAAAGGGTGAGGAAGGACTCGGGTTTGAGCAGGCTGGTCAGAGAAGGGCAGAATGAGCCAGCACTGCCGGCGCAGAAGGGACCTACCCTATGTGGGCCAACCTTATCCAGTCCTGGGCCCACCTGGCCACAGCCAAGCTGACAAGCCTCTTTTCCCCATACTGGGGAGGGCTGGGTCTTAGGGGCCTTCCCAGCTCCCAAGATGAGGAGGGATCTGGGTGTTCTGGCCACCGACCCGACCCGCCGGCAAGCGGCCCATCAGGGGTTCTCCCCTGCTTCCTTGAGAGGCAGGATCTATTCTGCCAGGGATGGTGGCTCATCTGATTCCCTGCCCTGCCAACCCTTTTGTGGAGAAAGGAGAGTGTCTTTTTTTCTGCAACAGGCACAGTAAAGAGAGGGAGCCAGGGAGGGGTTTCTGTCACAGGGGCACACACTGTGCTCTTGCGCCCCCTGGCGTCCTGTTTGGGAATGCCACAGTGGGTGACTGACCTACCCAGGTCCCAGGCTCACCTTTCTCTTGGAGTGACCCCGGCAGTCAGAAACGCCACCACCCATAAGGCTGTGCACTTCAGCCCTGTCCTCGATGTCTGAGGGTGGTGGAGACCAGTCCTGGGGACGGGGGTGCACAAGGGACTCCAATTCATGGGCAGGTGGGGGACTGGAGGGTCCAAGGCGGGCCCGGGAATACAGTGCAGGATTCCCAGTGGTGGCAGTGGAGGACAGGCCCGGGAGGGCTTCCCTGGAATGGAAGATGGGAAACAGGCACAATGGTCAAAGAGTGAGGGGTTGGGGCAGGACTGGGACTTAGTTTCCCAGTCTGTGCAATGAGTAAGAAACCCTGATTGTTAAAATCAGTTATGACACTGCAAGTGGGGCCCTTCCTCTGTTGGCTCCAGGCCTCTGGAGATTGCGGGTCCCTCTTTCCGAGATGCCGGCGACTACAGAGGAAATGGAAGAAAGGCAGCTCTGGGTATGCCTTCCCTTGCTGAAGGACAGGCTGGGGCTCCCCTAACCCACCCCACTCTCAGGAGGACATCACCCCCAATCCCTTCATCCCAGAGTCCTACATGTAATGGGGCTCCTGGGAATGCCTAGGGCAAGTCATGGCCACCTTCCCTGCTCTCTCGTCCATGCTGCCCTTCTGGAAACCTCTCCTCTCTGCAGTCAGACTGGCTCCTTTGCCCACCTGTGGGGGCCCCGGCGCAGGCCAGCACACATGCAGGCCAGGAGGCAGAGGAGGCCCAGGCAGACACCCACAATGATGCCTATGACCGAGTGCGCGTCCAAGGAGTCTAGTGGGGGAGAGGAGACAGAACAGGTCAAGGGAAGGACGAGGCCTGGGATCACAGATCAGGACTTCCTGTGGCTTCTTCAGGAGACCAATGGCCTGAGTCACGCCCTTTGTACACTTGAAATTTTCTCATGCAAGGACAAGAGTGACCCACAGCTTCACAGGGACCACAACTACCCCTCTGTCTATCCTCCCCACTGGACATCTGGAAACTGTGGTCCCTCCCCATCAACCTGGCCTTTCTGTGAAACACACCTCTTGCCTGCCTAGCAGGGCTAGTCTCATAGGTGGGCCACAGGGCAGCTGCATGGGGCCCAGGGTGAGGAGGGCTTCAGGCTTGGTTTAATGCTCTGCTGTCACCATCTGGAAACTTCCTAATTTTTTAGTAAGGGTCCCCACTTTTCAATTCATACTGGACCCTGCAGATTATGTAGCCAGTCCTGTGGCCTATCTCCTCTCCACAAAGCTCATCACCTCTCCAAATCAATCCTCCAGTTAAAGCAATCTCCCAAAAGAAAACAAGCCAGGGTCCCATAAATCTGGCCTCTCAACTGAATCACCACCGAACCACACCCATTTCCCCTTCATATTTGTCCTCTCCACTCCAGACTAGCAGGGCAGCCATCCAAAACAATGTAAGTATAGTCATGTTAGAGACAGGGCCTTGGAGGAATTGACTAGGGTTAGAAGTCAATGCCAGAGGCCTCTGGCTAGCCTGGGCTACCCTAGATGGGACCCACTCTCCCCTCCCTGCCCTCATACCTGAGAACTTCTCCTGGAGAGTGATCACATCCTGCAGGCCTGAGAAGGGCCCAGGTCCCACCTCTGTGCGTGCCCCCATCTTGAAGAAGTACCTAGTGTCGCTCTCCAGGCCACGTACCTCTGCACTGAAGATGTTACCTGGGGGGTGGGGGGATTGGGTGGGGCTGGGGTGCAGGGATGGGCTGGAAGCAGGACTGAGAAAGTCTGCCCCTCCCACTCACGCAATTGCCTCCGTCTGCTTCTCCTAGAAACTCCTCGGACAGACCTCATGGTACTCTCACTACTAACCCGGTCACTGGAGTGGCTGGGAAGGGCAAAGAGGGCAGGGAAGCTCTTGCTCGGGTGCTTTGGGGAGGGAGCCCTCACCCCCCGTGGTGAGCAGGGTCCACTGGTGCTCAGGCTGGGTGTGGTTATCGCTGTAGAGTATCAGATACTCCACGATCTCTCCGTTGGGCTCTGTAGGGGGGCACCAGTGCAGCCGAACGGTGGACGGCGTCAGGGAGCTCAGGCGCAGGTCAGATGGGGGTGTTGAGGGCCCTGTGGTGCAGGGGAGATGGGGAGAGATAGGGTCACGGACAGCCCCCACTCCAGGAGCAGCTGAGAGAAAGGGCATAAAGACATGCCCTTTCTTCCTCCTCCAGTGGAACAAACCACAGACCACAAACCAAAATGAGGTCTGGTCTCTAACCAGACACAGGTGACTGGTGAGTTGGAAAGGGAGAGAGATTTGTGGGCTCAGGTCTTCAAAGCCCAGCTGAGGTGGGCCGGGGACCCAGGGCTCTGAGACACAACAGAGCCGCAGCATCACAAGCTGCCAGAAGCCTCTGCGTCTCACCTTCCAGCCTCCCCATCTGCAAAAGGAGAGAATATCCCTGCTCTGTCACAGTCAGTTGTGCTGACAGCCAGTGTCATAAAGTCTTTGGGAAAACACAGGGTCTCTCTAAACTTCATGCTGCTTAAGACTATAATTACTGAAATCAGAATTGGGTGAGGAACAATTTGTAAGCAGTTTTTTAAAAAGCAAATTCATGGGAATGGAGGGCCTCTCCCCACTCCCCTCCCCCACACCACCTTCCTGTTTCAGATCCAGGGACACAGGTTTTCTGTCAATGGGAAGGTGAACAGTCTTAGGGCTGGCAGAACCGAAGAGTCTCTGCTGTGAAAATCAAAGTCCGTTTGTCTTGAAATGCCCTTTCAGAGGCTTTCAGAGTCACAAATTTGCAGAGCAAATGGTCCCACTCTCTTTACAAATGAAGACACAGAGGCCCTGGGTAGGGAAGGCAACTGCCCGAGTCTCCCAATGCCAGAGGCAGGATGGGGGCCTGAATACAGAATCCAGGATGCTGGATTCCCCTCCCTGGCCCCTCTTCACCAGCTCAGTGAGGTCTCAGCGTACCCTCAAAAGAAGCCAAATAATACGTTATATAGTAAGCCACATAAATCTTATGTTACTATATTTATGAGTAAACAGTTAAGATCAGCAGAGGGCTAGCCTATGTAAATGTGAAATAAATGACAGAGGACATTTCAGTAAAGAGGGCTGTTGGGGTGAGAAGGCCAAGGGGTCACTTACGGTCAGGCAGGGTGGAGCGCTCCACCACGGAGCCAAAAGGCCCATCCACGTCCACGCCATGGGACTGCACTGCAAACTCGTATTTGGTGAATGGCTTCAGCCCCCCAATAAGGACATCTTCTCCAGAGCTGCCAGGGCAAGAAACGTGACTTAGTGCTTCAGGCATGCCCTCCTGGCAGGGCAGGCCCCTCTACACCTACTCCCCTGCCCCAGCCCGCATCCCAGGCCTGGAATCCCTGGGCAAGGAATCTGCTCCTTGGTATGGGGGCCACTCACACAACCCAGAGGTCTCGATGGACACTGACTTCATGGTATCATGTCCAATCTCAAGTCAGGTTCTCTCCTCCAGGAAACCTTTCTGGATTAATTCAAGTAATTCTCTACCTAAGGAACCATCTTCCTTGACTTAATTTTGCTGAATACTTGCAATTGTATATAGCTATTGATTGTTATGTGGCTTCCTTGGCCAAACCAGCAGGTCCTCAGGGCAGCCCTCTCAGGACAGCCTCTGGGTTGTCTGCCCCATCACACTGGGAGCCCTCTGAGGTTGAAGAGGCAGGTCTGTCCTGCATCATGTTCCCAAGGGTTGAGTACAAGGCTCTGTCACGAGGGGATGGGAAGGATGGAGTCCCCGTCTACACCTGTCACCATCAGGACCGGAGACCCTCAGCGAGCCCCCAGCGTAACATATGAGCCATGAAACAGTCCTGATTCCCCAGCATCCCTCTCCTCATTGCCACCGGCTTTTCCACCCCATGCCGACCACTCTTCCTGCCCCTGCCAGGCTTCCGCCCCCTTCCCCACCTGGTGTAATAGGTGACCAGGGAGGCGTTCCTGAGCCCCCAGGGGCTGAAGCGCACAGTGTAGTTGACAATCTTGACTGTGGTGAAGTCTGGCTTTTTCCACCGGAGCCAAATGGATGTGGAACTGTTTGATTCTGCATGGACATGGGCGGGGGGCAAGGGTGGCCCCCTCTGGATGGGCAGGTCTGAAAGGTAGAAATTAGAGCATGGGGAAGGAGGGAGGGCACTCATCCCTACACATGCATATTGATTTGCAGTTCCCGAGGCACTTTCTTTTACCCTCTCTTTTGATCCTGTGAGTTGAGTGGCATCAGTCCCAGTTCACAGATGAGGAAACTGAGGCTCCCAAGAATTTAAGCATTTTTTTTTTTGCCAAGGTCATACACAAAGTAGACTATAACAGAGAGGTAGAAAACCATGGCAGTTAAGAGCACAGAGCCTGGAGCTAGGACTGCCTTGGTTCAAATTCCAGCTCTGCCACATACTAGCTGTGTGACCTTGGAGAAGTTACTTAACCTCTCTCTATGCCTCTGTTCCCTATTCTGTTAGTGGGGCTGATAATAGTACCTACCTCCCAGAGTTGTCAGGGGATTAAATTAATATTTGTAAGCTGTAGAGAAAAGTGTCTGGCATTTTGGTACAGACTGAATGTCTGTTCCCCTAAAATTCTTGAAGTTAAAATATGACATATGGTAGAGTCCTCATGAATGGGATTAGTGCTTATCTTTGTCCATTCGAGCTGTTACAACAAAGTACCATCAACTGGGTGGCTTAGAAACAATGGATGTTTATTTCTTACAGTTCTGCAGGCTGGAGTCCGTGATCAGAGAGCCAACTTGGTCACAGTTTGGTGAGATACTCTTCCGGGTTTCAGGCTGCCGCCTTCACTCTATGGTCACATGGCAGAGAGCGGAGAGGAAGCCGGCTCTCTGGGGGCTCTTATAAAGGCACTCCTCCCATTCATAAGGGCTGCACACTCACGACCTCATCTAATCCTAATTACCTCCTAATACACCACCTTGGAAGGCAGAGTTTCAGCATATGAATTCGGGGAGGATGCACACTTTCAGTCTACAACAATGCCCTGATGTCTCCAGAGAGCTCTGGGGCTATTGCTGCCATATGAGGACACAGCGAGAAGATGGCCTGTGGTCTATGCACCAGGAAGTGGGCCCTCAGCAGATTCAGACTCTACTGGCACCTTGATTTTGGACTTCCTGGCCTCCAGACTGTGAGAAATAAATGTTGGTTGTTTAACACCCAGTCTATGGTATTTTTGCTATTGCAGCTCAAACTAGGATGTATATAGTAAGCACTATAAGATGAAGTACTTATTACATGAACATAGAACAAACTCCATGAGAGCAGGTACCTTATGTGTGCTGGTCACTGAATTCCCAGAATAGAGCTGACACACAGTCAATGCTCAGTAAAATATTTGCTGGATGAACAAACTGGAATTAGAACTGTGGCTTCTTGGCTCCTGGTTGAGGGTTCCTTCCACTAAACCGCAGGGTAACAATCAGCCTGGGGAGTTAGCGAGGAGGGAGTGTCCTGGCGGGTAACTGAGGTGTCCCATCCAGGCCATGAGACAGTGGAGAGACCAGGTTCTAGCATAGGCTCTGTGTGACCTCAGGTGAGTCCCTTTACCTCTCTGAGCCCCAGTTTCCTGGTGGGCCGCCTAGGGATACTCTCCCTGACTACAGCAGAGGGACAGTCTGATAGACAGTGTAATGTAGGTGGATGTGTTTTAAAAATTGTTTAAAGGCCAAACTTGGGGTCAGGAGTCACCGATCAACTCTGGGTTTCCCTATCCAAACCTTCCAAATTAGCACTGCCCCCAGACCACGACAATAGGGTAGCAGGCCTAAAAGTACACGGACGCAGCTTCCCTGACAGAGGCTGTCTGGAGCTGGAAAAGGACCCAGATCCTAGGAGAATGGGTTTGGAGGTGGCTGAGGCTACTAGACAGCCTGACCATTAGGGCTGGCCCAGAGGAAAGGCGAAGGGAAGCAGCGCCCCAGGGGAGCCCTCCTCCCCTGCCTCCCCAGCCCCTCACCTGGGGTGGGAGCCTTTTCTGTCTTGCCCTTCCACACTGCTGCATAGCCATCCTCATGTTTGTTGAATGCCACGAGCTTCACTTCGTACAGCCTGCCAGGAACTAGGGTAGGTCACGGGGTCACTCTCTAGCTAGAGGGACCCCTGGGACCACTCTGTCATCCCCAGAGAGAATTCCATCTCCAGCTCCCACTCCCAGGTTGTCCAAACCCCAGCCTGCCTTGCTCCTTCCCCCCAGCCCTCCTCACCGAGCTGGGTCAGCTCATACTGCTTCGCTTTCTTCTTGAGCCGGACAGGCCCCACATCCCAAGCCTGGTCTCCACGGGCCCCAGGGGGGCCCTCACCGTCGGCCTCCTCCTCGGCCCCCACCTCCCGCCAGTACAGTTTGTAGCCAGAGATCTGGGCAGGGTGAGGCGGGGGCTGCCACGACACGACCAGGGACTCCATCCTTGTCCGGACCTTCAACTCTGCAGGGGCAAAAGGGACTGGGGGCAGAGGGGCAGGATGGGAAGGAGGAAGAGATGGGGGATGAGGAGGAGGCCAGGGATGGGAAAGGGGGAAGAGGCAAGAGGAAGCAAAAAGCCGGAAGCCGGCATTGAAAGCCTTGCCAGCCTTGTCCCAGTGCATCGCCACTTAGTCACCAGCCTAAGGTCAGGCCTGGGCTCGGCATACAGGTGAACCCACTAGCTTACAAACCCAGAGCTGAGAATTCATGGATATCCCCTGGGCTTTGCAAAGAGGTCAGCAAGGGGCACCTCTGGTGGTGGGTAGGGGGCTCGCAGTCCCTGGCACAGAGCGGGGCAGGGCTCTACAATTCTTCTGAAGGAAGGAGTGCCATGGATACTGGTGGGCAGGGGGGTCACAGGGGATGCTGAAGCTGTGAAGGAGGGATGGAGCCATGGGCGTCTGTAGCCCAACAGTAGGGGGCTTACTATGTGTCAGACACTATTTTAGCACTTCACATACATTTTTTAAGTTTATTCTCACAGCCCTATAAAATAACAAAAATACTGTTATCTCCATTTTACAGATAAGAAAACTGAGGCTCGGAGAAGTTAAGTAACTTGCCCAAGGTCGCACAGGTACTTTGCATGCCAGTCTGGTTTGCATTTAATCACTGTACTCTCTGGCCTCTCAACAAAACCAACAAAAATCATACTCATGGAAGCATCTATTATTTAAGAGGTTCTTATTATGTGGCTAAACACTTTGTTTACAATGCATTATCAATCCTGTCGTGTTTGGCAGTAAACAAAGCCTTAGAGTTGTAAATGGTTCATCCAAGGTCACAGCTGACAGAAGTGACACAGGAGCCTAGGAGTGTCTCTGAGGACCAGCCCTTCACCTGGGCAGCTGGCCTCCCTTACCCATCAAGCAGCGGGGTGATGGAAGGTCTCTGATGGAGGAGCTGTTTGGGTCTGGGTTCCAAGGGCACACATGCACACACATGGTCACGCACACCACCCTCCTGTTCCCTAGACCCTGTACCGTGGCTCTGGCTGTGTATGCTGGGTGTCCTGTGCTGCATCCACTGGGAGGGAGCCCCATAGCCAGCCCCTGTGCCAGCAGAAATCCGGACTCGATACACCTTGTTGGGCTGCAGCGAGTTCAGGGTATGCTGTGTCTCATTCCCCAGCACCTCAGTGGAGAAAATCTGATCTGCTAGGACAGAAAAGACTGGCTGCTGGGTGGTCATCCGAGGACCATGACTCCTAAACTCCCCTCCACTGACCACTCCAGCGCAGACCGTGGCTCCTCGGTGCCCATCAGAGCTGTGGCCCTCTCAGCACGGACCCCTCAGTGCCTGGGTGGCCACTGTGGCTCCAGGGCTGACTCCTGGGCCTCCAACCCTGGCTGATGTAGGTGCCCAGCCTCAGCTCAGGGTGGGCAACATCATGGTGCGTGCTCCCTACTCCCCCCCACACACGAGGGCGCAAGCACAAGGGATTCACTGCGAAGGCCACCAGGTGCGCTCCTCACCCACCCTGGTCCCCCAGCCGCTTGCCCCCTCCTGATTCTTTATCCCTCCCATACCCTCTCCCCTGGATCACCTGCATCTGCCTCCCCGGTGCTGCATTTCCCCAGTCCCACAAGCACATTCTCCCCCTCCCTCCCCTCATCTACTTTTTGAGCTGGAAGTAAATCCAGGGATTAACTAGGCTACTGGCATCATTTCACAGATAAGGAAACTGAGGCAGGAATTCAAGAGGATGACCCACTGCAGCTGTAGAGGAGGTGGGCCTAGAACCTAGGCCTCCCTCTCCCTTGGGCTAGGCCTCATCTTCTCCCCCCTGCCGTACCCACCCCCAGCCCACGCTCCTCTTGTCCAGCATCATATTTCCCTATTCCACCACGCTGCCTAACTTCCGCAGGCTCACCCCAGCTCTGCTCGGACCTAGCTGTGCTGACCAGCCCTCTGCGTGGCTAACCCCCAGCCAGGTGTGGCCCACACCCTGCCCCCACTCACCTTCCTTTCCCAAACCGTACTCTATCTTGTACTTCACCACCTGCCCATTGCTCAGGCTGGGAGGCAGGGGCAGCCACGCCACCCTGATGTCCAAGGGGTTGGGGCTGGACAGGGAGAGCTGGGGCGCTGCACTGGGGACTGAGACAGAAGAACATCAGCGTGAGCTCTGCTCCACCGACGTGGAAGGTGAGGCCCAGGAGCGGTCAGAGACTTGCCCAGGTCACACAGCAAGTCAGAAGTAGGCCCAGGACCAGGATCTGAGGGAGGAAAGCGAGCCTCTCAGGGGACATCCTTCCCACCCTGAAGCCAGAAAAAGGTTTGGGCACAATCTTCTACATCTAATGGGTCCATATCACTGGCCCCTGCCTGATTGGATGGTATGTGTCCAGGAGAAGGGCTGTATGAGACAGGGAATCACTAGACCTGGGCTCAAGTCCCCAGCTGTACTACTGACCTTGGGCAACTCAGTCTCATTTTCTGGGCCTCAGTTTCCCCAACTGTAAATTGGGGAGAACATCTGCCCACCCCCTTGCAGGGCACAAAAGATGACATGAGGCAGGTAAAAGAGCCTTTGCGTACACTAGTAAAGAGAAGCCAAGCTACTGTCCCAGAGGAATTCTCTGGGCCCCAAGGTGGCCACTACACATTCAGAGGCCCTACCATCATCAAGCGTGTGGACCAGTGCTGGGGCAGAAGTGCGGCTGGCCCCCAGCTGAGAGTAGGCCACTACGTAGAACTCATAATCAGTGCTGGGTTCCAGGTCCCGAACCTGTAGCTCGGTGGTGTCGTTGTTCACTGCAAACTGGTATTCCACATTGTCCACGCCTGGGGGGGTGACACAGGGGACAAGGGACCGTCACAGGGCCACACCCAGGGGTCTGCCAGCTAAACTATCTCCAGATTGTTCCTGTTGTCCCAGGCTCTGAAATAGTCTTTAGCTAAATCATCAGATAATCTGAGCTGCAGAGTAGAAACTCTAGCTTTTACAGGGGCACTATCAATTCCTGCATCTAACTGAAGTGACGCTGGCTGCGGTTAATGGACTGGCTCCAAGAAAGCCAAGGCATCTCCTTGGACGCGGAGCAAGCTCTCCCTGCTCTCTCCTAACAGAGGCTAAGGGGAGAATGTGCAACACAGATTGACCTCTAGCACCTGGGCATAGCACCTGGCCAAAGACTGCGGCTGCCAATCCAAATCCATGTGGGTCTCTCCCTGGGCTCCGACACCACACCATCAATAACAAAGGTGCCCGGGGCAACCCTTCAGGCATCCAATTTGTGTCCCCCCGCCCCCCACTGCGCCCCCGTAGGGGCCTTTGCCGAGATATTTTGGGCTCCCGGTAGGCTTACCCCGTGCCTTCTGGTAGTGGAGGGAGAAGCCGATGATCTGCTCGCTGTGCAGCTCGGGCCGCTCCCAGGCCACGAGCACCGCCGAGCTGCTCAGAGGCGTGGCCGTGACCCGCGTTGGGGCGCTGGGCAGCCCCTCTCGTACCACTACAGACAGCGGCGCGGCGGCGCACGCGGTGCCCGCGCCGTTCTCCGCCACGCACTGGTAGAAGCCGGCGTCTTGCAGGCCGATCTGAGTGATGACCAGGCTGCCGCCGCCGCCCTGCACCTTGACGCGCCCGTTGGGCCGCAGAGGCGCGCCGTTGTGCAGCCAGCGCAGCGCGGGCCGAGGCTCCCCGGACGCGCGGCACACGAAGCGCGCCGTGCTTGCCCGCGTCCGCGACAGCGCCTCGGGCGCCTGCGAGATGGCAGGAGCCGCTGGGGGCGGGGAGGAGGACGCTGGCCGCGGGCTCCGGCCACCAACGGGCCCCGCCTCCTCCCCTAAAGCCCCGACCGCGTCCCGCATGCCCCGCACTCACTCCAGCCTCTCCCTGATCACGCCTCCCCACAAACACTCTAGCGCAATGCAGCAGCTCTGCCTCTTCTCCCCCATTCACCCCAGCCCCACGCCCACCGACCTCTCCTCCCCGAATTGTCCCCCGGCCTCCTCAGCGTCCCCTAAACACCCTCGTGCCTCCTGGATCTAACCCCGCGCTCTCATGTACCACGCACTGCCTCTCCTGCCTTCCAATGTCTCCCACACTTACCAGATTTACCCCTCCCCCAGTTATCCCAGCCCTGAACAACCCTGTCCCCCAGTTTTCTTAGTACCACCAAGACCACTCTACTTTCTCCCCCCACAGCCCAGGTCCCACTCAGACCACCCCTCACCAGCCCCCAGTCACCCGAGCCATGCCGGAATCACCGCTCTCCTCTCCCTGCCTCAGCTCCCCTCACTCCATCCTTCAGTCTCTCTCCACCACTTCCCCTCCAATGATCTGGTCCGTCCCGTCCAACCCCGCCCCAACGAAGGGCCGCCAGCCTAGCCCTTTCTCATCCTCAGTCCCTCTAACCCGCCCGCTTGCTCACTCCAGCCGCCCGCATTCCTCCCGCCCTCGGCCCCAGCGAACTCGCCCCAATCCACCCTCCGTCACCTACTCCCGCGTCCTTCGCCCCGCCTCACCCAGCACGCGGAGCTCAGCCGCGGCGGTGGCGAAGTCGCGCGTGCGGGGCTTGTTAGCGCGGCAGACATAGACGCCCGAGTGCTGGGGCTGCGCGCTGGTGATCAGTAGGTTGGTGCGGCCCAGGACGATGACATCCGTGGCGATGGGATTCCCGTCTGGGGGAGGAAAGGGCGAACGATGGAGGGGACCGCTGGGGATTGCCCCTCCAGCCACTCTGCGGACCCAGGGGCCCCTCTACGCTGGTAGAGCACCACTAAGAGAGCACAACTGTCCCAGTTCCTCCGCTTGCTACACCAGTGACCCTCTCTGAGCACTAGTGTCTCTGTCTGTAGTCCCAGAGCTGTGGGACTGCTGTGGGGGTGGAACGAAAAAAGTGCTCAGTACACCAGTCAGTTGTTACCATTATTATTAAATTAATCTCTCTCAAGAAGGACACACCGTTCCAGCATGGTCTTAGCCCAGTACTATGAGGAAGATGTAGCTGGAAAGGTCTGACCAGAAACAAAGATTTGAATATGTCTAAGACTTTTATCTTAATATGAATGAAAATCATTTTAAAAGTCTGTGGCTGATGGACATGAACAGAAAATACAGAGGAGAAATGGAAATGGCCAAGAAACACAAAAAGTTCAATTTCACATAAAGAAATGCACATCAAAACATAGATGTTCCTTGTTCACCTATCAAACTGGGAAAGCTTTTAAAAAGAGTAAGTTGCAATGCTGGAGGCACGGCAAATGCTGACTGGGCTTTACGGAGCCTCACGGACTTTGAAGCCAAGGATTCCACTTGTGGGCACCTGCCCTGGGGAGGTGTGAACAGGAGCGCCATAGCAGTGACTGTAATAGTGGGCAACTGGGAAGGACTTTAAATTCAACTGTACGAACTGGCAGATTATGTTATGGCTGTATTCAAATAATGGAATATAATATAGTTATTAATATAGTAGAGTCAGTTTTTTTAAAAAGCTTTCAAGATGGGGAAATGCTTAATATACTGTTGAATATACTGTTGAATGAAATAGGACTTGGAACTGTAAATACAGCATGCTTTATGCTTTCAGTTTGGGGGGGCAGTAAATGTACATGCGCACAGAAAAAAACGTGGAAGAAAATACACTCATATGTTAATCATTTTAATCTCCGAGTGGTGGGATGTTTTCTGTTTCCCTTTTTCCATAGTTTTCTACAATGTACACATACAACTGCTGCAATCAGAAGAAAACAAAACAAACAAAACAAAAAAAGCTATGTCTCTTCCTTGACTTTGTGGAGTGACTTTCTAGACAAGGAACGGTGCCTGGGGTCAGGAATGAAATCCTTTTCCACCTTTCTCTTCCCAGTCTCTGTCGAGGAGTGCTGTTAGCAGAGTTTCTCCAAATGAGTTTCCAGAACCACAGGCATCAGGATCCTCTGGGGCAGCAATTCTTATTGTCACATGAATCACAGAATTGCAGGGACCTTGTTAGGAGGGAGAGGCCTATGGCAGGCCCCAGGTTCTGTGTTCCTAACTAGGCCCAGGTGGTCGGTCCGAAGACCACACTTTCAGTAGCAAGGACTTGGGGCACTTATTAAGCATTAAGATTCCAGGGTCACAACTGTCCAGGTGTGAAGGGAGGGAGTTTCAACAAGCTTCCTGGGTCATCCAGGGATGTGGTCAGGATTTGATAAATACTGAGATTAGAACTTCTAGGTGACATGGCAGGCTCACTCCTGGGATCCCCCTAACTAGGCAAGTGTCTCAAGTCCATGAGGTCAGGGAGGCAGAATGATACCAGGACTGTTCTATCTCATCAGCTTGGTGGGGGTACATAGAGTTTTGGTTTTTCCCTAAACTCTATATATTCATTATATACTCTTTTGAATGTGAGATACAAATTTACAAAAAGGAGGCAGTGTAGGGTAATAGACTGGGCCAGGGAAGAAGAGAAAGGAGGAACTGGGTTTAAGATTATTTCTACCATCTACCTGGGGCAATTCACTTATTGTCAAATGGATACAAAAGTAATCTGCATTTTGTCCACACAGGACTGTAGGGGGTGGTGTAGCAGGAAGAGAACCAAGCTCTAAAGTTTGGGCCCTGGCTCTCCCCACCTGCCTCTCTGAGCCTCAGTTTCCTCATCTGCCCTTTGGGAATAACAGTCCTGGCCGCTACCCTCCTCAAGGGCTCCTGGAGGCCCCAGTAGGAGGATGGGTTGAGAGATCAGCAGACTGCAGGGTGATGTTCGGCCGAGCGCTCTCATTACCCTGATAGCATCTCCTGTAATGCAGTCCCACTTGGCACTTATCACTTGCTGCCTGATACTGTCACACCTGCCTTAACGGGTGTGCTTTATCTCCCTCACCCAGACTATGAGTTCGGAGGATAGGGTCCCTGTCTCTCTCATCCAGGTGTTTTATTCACTCTGCCAGGCACACAAAGGCAGCAGTACATTGGGTGGACCAGGAAGCAGCTTTGTAGTTCAACAGAGCAGCAGCGGGGTCCTGGTTCACCTGACCCGCTGGCTGTGTGGCACCTGTCCAGCTCTCACACTCTCACTTGCAGCACTGTTGTGAGGAATGGCAATAAGTAAAGTGGGGAACCTATCCCAGTGCCCACACTATGTAAGGTCTCATTAACAATTTTGTGAATGGCAGACTCAAAATGCCTCATAAAGGAAACGTGCTACCCAGATTCATGATTAAGTCTGTCCGTGTTCCCCAGCGCACGCAGCCTTGGAAGAGGAGTTCCCGCTACACCATAAGTCAGTGACCATGGAGTGGTCACCCTCATATCTCTCTGACTTGGAGACACGTAAGATGTCACACTCCTCCTTTCCCATGACCTCCAATTCCCTCCCTCCACTTACCCTGTCGAACCCAGGACACGAAAGGCGTAGGGTCAGCCGAGGCCATGCATTCCATTACCACACTCTGGCCAGACACTACAGTAGTGTTCTCCGGGGCTGCCACAATGACCACATCCTGTCCCCTGGTGGACACCAGGGACCCTAGAGAGACACAGGCCAGCAGGCCTTACTGCTAGGCATCTTCACCCGTAGTACCTCTCCAGATGCTTACAGTCACCTGGTGAGGCAGGAAGCAAGCAGCCAGGATTCCATCTGACAGTTGGGGAAAGCCAGCCACATAGTTCAGCAGAGCTGTGACTGTCACTCAGAACTCTTTTTCTTGGAGCCAGGAGAGGAATAAACCGGCCTCGGTCACACCGATCCTACTCTTCCCTTCCCCAGTCCACCCTCCAAGCAGAGGCCTGTGAGGTCAGCAGTACTCTCGGTGTCTGGACTTGGATGCAACAGGCATAGTTTCTAATTCCAGCAAGTCCCTTCTCCAAGGGGCCTCCGGGTTCCACGTGGGAAAAGAGGGGCTGGGCTCGAGTTTTTGACAGCTTGGCAGCTCTCAGAGCACCAATTCCGTGCCAAGTTCTCAGTGCGACCCTGGCCCTCTGGGTCAGCACGGTGAATACCTAGTCTGTCCAGCAGGTGGAGGCAGAAACTCAGGGCCCAGGAGGGAGAGCGGCCAGGAAGCAGAGGGGAGTGGACGTGGGAGGCTGAGGGGAGGGGGGAGAGACGTGGGGACTGGAGGGGGTGGGGGGCAAGTGCTTCCTTTCTTAGCTCTTCTCACCTCTCTGAGCTGGACATTTGATAGTGAGCCCGGGGTCATACAGACAGTGAGTGGAGAAGCCAGAACTCAAGCCAGATCTTTCTGACCCCGAAGACTGTGCCCTTCCTACTGCATCACCCTGGGCAGGAGCTTTTCAGAGAAACGGAGAGGCAAGAGCGCCAGGGCGCAGGGAGCCTGACTGGCAGTGCACAGCAAAGAGAACGAATCCCCAGTGCCCAGGGCCCTCGGGGGGACAAGGACTTCAGGGTCCTGCCATCCCTCCGCAGACGTCTCGCCTTCCCACCCCCGACCCCAGCCCTGGATTCCCCGTCCAGCCCAAGGAACCAGAGCCTCGGCAGGAAGGAAGCTGTGGACTGAGAGTCTGGACTATCGCGTTCCAGCCCCAGTTCTACCTCTGACCTGCTGGGTGGCATTACGCTCTCTGGGCTTTATCACCTCACCTGTCCAGTGAGATTTATACCCATTGCCTGTCGGAAGGCAGGGCGTGGGCTCCTGAGGCCCCTCCCAACGGTGAGGCCCCTGACTCCAGAAACCCCCAGGTTTCCGAGCCCAGCAGGCCCCCTCACCTCTGCCAGCCACGCTGAGTACGGCCTCCTGGCTGAAGCGCTGGCGGGCTGAGTTGGTGGCCACACAGCGGTAGGAGCCCGTGTCACTCTCCTGAACATCCAGGATCTGGAGGACCCCATTGGGAAGGGTGATGAGCCTTGGGAGGGGGAAAGGGCACCTGTGAGGTAGGCAGCCCCATAGGGAGGGTGGTGGGCCCAGACGGTCCTGCGCCCACCTCCCCCTCCAGCTTGAAATACCTGCAGCGTCTCACTCTCAAGCCCCACTCGTAATTTCAAAAATGCAAATGACAACCATACGAAACCATTCTCACCCATCAGACTGGCAAAGGTCAAAGGGTTCAGCAACACCCAGTGTGGATGAGGGAATCGGGATGAGGCACACATCCAAGTCTAGCCTCCAAGTGTACTGACCAACTCATGTCTTGTCAGCAGCCATGTCACCTTCTTTCAAGGCCAAGCAGGGGATATCTTAAAGTCAAACCTGCATGTGCCTTTTAAGCCAGCAATGCCACTTTGAAGACTCTGTCCCACAGATACTCTCATACATGTGCACAAAAACATATACCTAATGATACTCACTCCAGCATTGTCTATAACAGCAAAAGACTGGAAGCAATCCAGGTGTCCATCTGCAGGGCAGGATCTAGCTAAATCAGTTTGGGCACATTCATACAATGGAATGCTAGACAGCTGTTAAAAAGCAGGCAGCTCCATGTATGCTGATAAAGGACAATCTCCAAAATGTGTCTGGTGCAGAACAGTGTGTGTGTGAATATGTACACTTACATGCTTGCAGTGAATGTCACTGGTACTGATGGTTGCCTCTGGGGAGGGGAGTTGGCACCCTGGGAACTGACAGTGGGATAAGATTTCTACAGTTTGAATTTGTTTACTCCCTGCCCATATTACCTCCTTCCTCCCCTGATAAAATCCCTTTTAATCATACTACCTCATCTGATCCTCGAAATAAGCTCAAGAGATAGAGGGGATCACAACTTCCATTTTATTGGTGACAAAACTAAGGCTCAGAGAGAGCAGGATATTTCCCCAGGGTCTCACAGCTGGAGCAGAATTAAACCTTGAACCCAGGTCTTCTGGCACCAAATCCCAGGCTGCCTGTGTCAGCAGCCATCAGATGGCTGAGAATGCTCTTGGAAGGGACACGGTCCCGAGCGTGTCCCACTGAGCATGTACATTTCCCAGGAGAGACAGGATGATGAAAGTGGTCTTCTCTGCCCTCTTAATTAGTGGGATGGAAAGCAGCTCAGGTTAGAAAGGCCCGGAGACCTTGCTTGAGAGATGGTGTGATCCAGGCAGGGAAGCCAGGGTGGTGGGAAGCAGAGTGGGCTCTGGCCTAAGCTCAAGTGGAGTGGGTCTTCCTGAATCCTCCAACTGTGATCCCCACAGGGTCAGCTAGAGGTTGAGTCCTAGTTTCTCAATAGAGCCAATGGTGCTGGACCCTGGATGCAGGCCGGACCAAGGTCAGGAAGGGAATGGGGCAGCTGTGTGCCTGATGAAGATCTCTTGGCTGTGGGGAAACATGATATGAGAAAATCTAGACACAAGGGAGGAGAGTAGCTCAAGGGTGTTAGGAGAGAATTCTAGCCATAGGCCTGGAAACCTGCTGTGGCCCAGAGGCTTAGAGAAAAAACAAACCTGTTTCACTCCCTCCCTTGTCCCGCCTCTGCCTTAGCATCTCACCTTCAGCCCCACCAGCTACCCACATCAGTGTGAGGGCCAGTACAGGAGAAGGGACAGGAGGCAAAGGGTAGTTGGAGGTAAAATTCTGGGCCAGGACCCAGCCTGCTGCTGTGGAAAATCTGTTGGAAAAGGACAGAAGGGATGGAGAAGCAGAAGCTCTCTGGGAAACAAGGCCTCTTCCTCATTCGGGTCTCCTCCACCTAATATACTCTCTGTCTCCGAGATCCTCCCTCCTCCCTTAGTCTAGCTAGCTGACTATGCCTGGCGGGGTTCCTGCTAGGAGCTCCCACACATCCTGACCCCAAAGCTTCCCAGTCTTTCCAGGGAAATTGTGCCCCAGGTACCCAAGAGCTAATACCTTCTTTGACAAGTAACATTTCCTTAATTATGTGTGTTGAATGAATGAATGAATGAATGAATGAATGAACAAGTGAAGGAATGGATACCTTTTGTGCTATTGCTGCAGCCAACAGAAAAGTGAGATGGAACCACTCTAGTGTTCATCTCAAATCTTGTGTTTTGTTAAGATGTGCTTTTAGAAGCTCTGCCCTTGGAAGATATATTGGTTAGTGGGGGGAAAAAGTCATTAAAGAGTGTTGATGAAGTGATTCTATTTTTAGAGAATAGAGAAATGATAAGTTAGGATATGCACAGAACATGTCAGGAGTGGTAAGGCTCAGGTCATTCATGGATATTTTCTCTGGGGATGAGATTACTGGGAATTCTCTGTTCTATCAAAAAAAAATTTTTTTTATAGAAAATATTTAATGGTTTGGAAATATAAAAATGTTTCAACATCTAAATTGGAAAAAGCATGTGCCCTTGGATACTTTGTTTTGTAAGTCCCAGCTCTCACACAGAAGCAGCTATGGCATAGTGGAGAGGACTGGTTCCAACATACATGATTTTACCAAGTGACATCCCGTGTCTGGGCCTCAGGTTTATCATCTAGAAAATGGGTTAACTGAGTCCTGTCCTGCCTCCTTCACAACCCTGACCCTAATGCATTATGAGCTCACATTAGATAAGGGACATAAATACTCCCTATGAACCATAAACCCTAAATACACGTGTGCAGTGGTATAAACTGTACATGTATTTTTAAAAAGGCTTGGAAGGAACACCCAAAATAGTAACGGCTGTCTGTGTCCAGTTTGTAGGTGACTTCTTTCCCAGTTAAGTTGGTATATTGTATCATTTTAAATTTAATTCAAATTTCAAACAAAACAAAATGACTACTTATAGAATGAAAAGCAACCTCTATGCAAAAGGAAGGAATCATCCTCTTTCCAAGCCTGTGTTTGAGTCCACTGTCTCTACCCCTAAAAGGCCACTTGGAACAGGGACTCAAGGACAAAGTAGAAGTGATGCAGCCTACCTGAATCTCCTGAGGTCCAAGGAGCCCCCATTCTAATGTTCAGAGATCCCCCAGGGAAAGAGGATTCTAGCTGAGGGTCACTTTAGGTCGACAGAAACCATGGACACTGGGAGAAGGGCAGGGCAGAAGACTGGGCTAGGGATCCCACAGTAATTAAGTCCATTAGCGCTGTGTTTTTAAAGTGTGAATGAGTGCTGATAACAAAATGATCTCAAGTGGATCCAGATACAAAGTTTTATTCCAGTGGTTATGTACTTATTTTTATGGCTACCTTCTATTTATGGTAAGTGTGGCTTGTTTTCCATTTTACTGCAATGAGATAATGTACCTTTTTAGTATGTGTTGAAGTTATAAAAGAGAGAGCTGATTTAAAGAAATGCTTTAAGTAAGTGATTATATAAATGGTTTAGGGATGGCCAAAATTATGACAGGCATTTGTGAATGCCCAGAATTTGGGAAACATTGTTCTCATTGATTAGTGGTTCCTATGGAAGGAAAATTATCCCCTATCATTAGAAATTAGTATAAGTACCAGGGAATTGCCTCAGGGTCTAATCTTCACCATCAGTTGCAAAAATATGCACAAATATCTTGACAGAGTGTGTTTATTAACTGTACATGTGCATACGGTACACCAGTGCATACGTCTCCTTCAAACCACTGGGCTGAGTGTATGAATAGTGTATTTGTACATGCACTATAGCTGGGCATGTATACAACTACATACCTTGGTCATAATCAAGTGGCTGTTTAGACATTTCTTTACTCCACCCATGCAATGTGTTAGGACATGTCAGCCCGACTTATTTATAGATGAGGATCACTTTTCAGAGGGCACGGGGGCAAACACTCCCAGAGCTGGGAACTGGCAGCTCCATACGCCTGGATGAGGCCTGTAGCTTCATGGGATGGTGCTTGAACTAGGATGTTGGAAGGCAAGGGAACCCCACCATTTGCTGAGGAACTCTGGGCAAGTAACTTCTCTGCTCTGAGCCACAGCTGGAGCGTCCCATCTCTAAGCCCACACACAGCATGAATTCAGACCCTGCAGCTTCCCCACCCCAACGACCAAATCACAAGACGCTCTGTGCCATCCACTCTGGGGACTAGCTGTGTGACTGGGCTGACTTACTTCTGTCTCTGATCCTCAGTTCCCTCATTTTACAACCCAGATAATGATACCTGCCAGGGCCATATGTACAGAACTGGAAGGATGTTCATTATGTGCCAAGTTAAAAAAAAAAGTAAAAAGTTGCAATATAATCCCACTTTTGTTTTGAGAAAAAGGTGATTGAATAAAAAGCCTAGTATGGACCATATAATCCAGAATTTTGAAGAGACTGTTTATAAACATACAGGGGAAATGCCCAGAGGACAGACATCCAACTAACAGTGGCTTCCTATGCAGGATGAGATGCTGAGTGATTTTTGTTTCTTTTTTGTTTATATGAATTTGAAAAGTGCATCTCCTAGGGACACAAACTAAAAGTAAATATGGGAAAATATGAAAATGAAGAGACACCGATCTTGCAGGATGATGGGAAGGATTCACTGAGAAAACACAGCTCTCTTTAGGTGGTGCCTGCTGTGACTTTCAACACGGGGACAATTTTCTGCTCTCTGCCACCCTCTCGGGGGCTGCCAGGAGTGCGTTCCCACTTCTTTCTTGCCCAGCAACTCCCAGGAAGCACCCGCCAGGCAGCAGTGAGAGGCCTCACATTTGGAAGGCACATAACTCCAGGTGCCAGCGCCAGAAAAGCTGGGTCAGCCCTCCCAAGGCCCACGCCCTGGAATGCTCACTCAGGGGACGTTAACAGGGTTGCTGCAAGAGGGGCGCGGGGCAGATGAGTCTTGAAGTACTTGGTCAAGTAAGTTAAAGAGGCCCTCAGCACAGGATTCCTTAGGGCTTTGTCAATGCCAAGAGGGAGATTTATTGGCAGTTTCCTGACCTTATTTAACCACAGAAATCTTTTTTTAAAGAGTCACCTTTAGGGACTAATGTTCTACAAAGGATACACTTTGGGAAATCATGATCCAGTCCAACCCTCTCAGTTCTTTTCTTTTCCCTTAATTTTACAGATGGGGAGAATGAAGCTGAATGAGAAGAAACCTGCGGAGGCCCAGTGGGGCTAACAATCACCAAGTCAACAATATCACGTACGTCTTGGCCTCTTGCCTTTCCTCCTCCCTTACAACTGTTGTAGGGATGTGTTTTGTGGCTTTTCTACAGAGAAATTTCTCCTATACCTTCACCCCTACCTAGACATGGGGGAAAAGTCAGAGGAGCTGGGACAACTCATCAACTCGAAACAGATTAGTCCCAAGGCATAGAGATCTGGAAAGTAGTGTTTCTGAGCTTAAGGAACCTGACCTCCACAGGAGAAAAGGACACAGCAAGCTGGTAACAAGAGTTAGAGAGGTGTAGGGAGAGGACTGTAGGGTGGCTGGGAAAGGACTTTGGAGCCATATTTCCAAAGACATAAGACTCTACAGGTGACAACTGAGTCATGAGACCAGCTCAGAGGCCACCGATGCAAATGGGCCTCGTGCTTTCTGGTCATGCTGCAAGTACTGTGCTTGAACTAGGATGTTGGAAGGCAAGGGAACCCCACCATTTGCTGAGGAACTCTGGGCAAGTAACTTCTCTGCTCTGAGCCACAGCTGGAGCGTCCCATCTCTAAGCCCACACACAGCATGAATTCAGACCCTGCAGCTTCCCCACCCCAACGACCAAATCACAAGACGCTCTGTGCCATCCACTCTGGGGACTAGCTGTGTGACTGGGCTGACTTACTTCTGTCTCTGATCCTCAGTTCCCTCATTTTACAACCCAGATAATGATACCTGCCAGGGCCATATGTACAGAACTGGAAGGATGTTCATTATGTGCCAAGTTAAAAAAAAAAGTAAAAAGTTGCAATATAATCCCACTTTTGTTTTGAGAAAAAGGTGATTGAATAAAAAGCCTAGTATGGACCATATAATCCAGAATTTTGAAGAGACTATTTATAAACATACAGGGGAAATGCCCAGAGGACAGACATCCAACTAACAGTGGCTTCCTATGCAGGATGAGATGCTGAGTGATTTTTGTTTCTTTTTTGTTTATATGAATTTGAAAAGTGCATCTCCTAGGGACACAAACTAAAAGTAAATATGGGAAAATATGAAAATGAAGAGACACCGATCTTGCAGGATGATGGGAAGGATTCACTGAGAAAACACAGCTCTCTTTAGGTGGTGCCTGCTGTGACTTTCAACACGGGGACAATTTTCTGCTCTCTGCCACCCTCTCGGGGGCTGCCAGGAGTGCGTTCCCACTTCTTTCTTGCCCAGCAACTCCCAGGAAGCACCCGCCAGGCAGCAGTGAGAGGCCTCACATTTGGAAGGCACATAACTCCAGGTGCCAGCGCCAGAAAAGCTGGGTCAGCCCTCCCAAGGCCCACGCCCTGGAATGCTCACTCAGGGGACGTTAACAGGGTTGCTGCAAGAGGGGCGCGGGGCAGATGAGTCTTGAAGTACTTGGTCAAGTAAGTTAAAGAGGCCCTCAGCACAGGATTCCTTAGGGCTTTGTCAATGCCAAGAGGGAGATTTATTGGCAGTTTCCTGACCTTATTTAACCACAGAAATCTTTTTTTAAAGAGTCACCTTTAGGGACTAATGTTCTACAAAGGATACACTTTGGGAAATCATGATCCAGTCCAACCCTCTCAGTTCTTTTCTTTTCCCTTAATTTTACAGATGGGGAGAATGAAGCTGAATGAGAAGAAACCTGCGGAGGCCCAGTGGGGCTAACAATCACCAAGTCAACAATATCACGTACGTCTTGGCCTCTTGCCTTTCCTCCTCCCTTACAACTGTTGTAGGGATGTGTTTTGTGGCTTTTCTACAGAGAAATTTCTCCTATACCTTCACCCCTACCTAGACATGGGGGAAAAGTCAGAGGAGCTGGGACAACTCATCAACTCGAAACAGATTAGTCCCAAGGCATAGAGATCTGGAAAGTAGTGTTTCTGAGCTTAAGGAACCTGACCTCCACAGGAGAAAAGGACACAGCAAGCTGGTAACAAGAGTTAGAGAGGTGTAGGGAGAGGACTGTAGGGTGGCTGGGAAAGGACTTTGGAGCCATATTTCCAAAGACATAAGACTCTACAGGTGACAACTGAGTCATGAGACCAGCTCAGAGGCCACCGATGCAAATGGGCCTCGTGCTTTCTGGTCATGCTGCAAGTACGTGGGAGGCTGCATGGTAAGTCCTGGGTGTAGTCTGTGCCCTAAAAGCTCTCTGTGGAATTGCTGCACATACCCATTGCCTTAAGGGGACAGAGGAGGGTGAAACAGGAAGGACCTCCACACCCACTTATCAGATGCTGGACCCTGCTGGATGGGATTGAGGAGGAGAGGTTGTGCACCCAGGGTAGAAACTCCTGAGCAGCCCTGCAAAGAGAAAAGGCACCCAGCAGCCTCTGGGGCCTGAAAACACAACACACACTCTGCCACTGACTGCACCAGGCCTCAGGTGAAACATGGCTCCCCTCAAACCCACATTCTCCTTTTCAACAAAGCAAGTGGTTGGACTGATAGGCTTTGAAGTACTCTCTCCCTACTCCCCACCCAGGCTCTATAGCTTGGTGGCTGGCTTTCCTCCCTGGGAGCAAAGGCGTGGCCAACTTCTCTTTGGGACCAGAAAAGGACTGAGTGTCAGGTGGCTCTGCTTGTCAGTTTGGGCAAAAGCCCTGTGACTCTATGAAACCCAGTTCCTGGGCATGTCCCACAGCCCTCTGGGCCCCACTCCCTACTCACCGAGGCTCCTCAGGCACTGTCACATGGTCCTTCTCCCAAGTAATGATGGGTGCTGGCAGCCCTTCAATGTGGCACTCAAACCGAGCTGTCCTGTTCTCCTCCACTGTCTGAGACTCCGGGTGCAGAGAGAAGCCCCTCAGTGCTGGGGACAGTCAGACGCAGCAGGGACAGGAGAGGAGAGGGGGAAGAGAGGTGAGCACAGATAACAAAACACATATGCACGCGCACATGCAGACAGAGACAGAGAAACACAGGGTTAACAGGAGTGTAAGCAGAGCAAATTCCAACCAGTGGAGACAAAGTTGGAAAGAGGCAGCCAGGGCAGGAGAAGTGGTGATTAGCCATCAGTTGCTGCAGGCAGAATGAATTCCTAAGTCCCCCAACCTAACACCACCATGATGGTCAGACTACAGTCAGAGGCACATTTCTTCTGGCCCAAAAATTATTTCATGGTGAGCTGTGCCTCCTAGAGCCCCCCAAGGGGTGTGGGGCTCAATGATAGGCCTTGATTGCACACCCTTCCCTGCCACAGGGTGGGGAACCCCCTGAGGAGAGGCCTCTGTGCCCCTGAAGCTCTTACAAGCCTCTCTGGCAGGCTTCCTGGAGGAGAACACCACTATAGACCCTCAAACTCAGGAGTGGGCTACTGAGCAGTGAGGCAGGCAGGACCAGGAAAGGGCCTACCAAACAGGATGGAGCTGGGAAGGTGTGGGCTCAAGTAACTCACCAGGCATCCCACTTCCCACACCCCAGGCTTCCTGGGCCTCAGCTCAGCCCCCCAATGCAGGCACTTACTGGCGAGCTTGACCACCGCAGCCTGGCTGGCCACCACTCCGAGGGGACCATGCGCCAGGCAGGAATAGCTGCCCTCGATGGCCTCCGAGAGCCCAGGAGCTGCCTCATCACTGCCATTGGGTGCCAGCCGCAGGGAGCCGTTGGGTAGGAGGTGCAAATGGCTGTGCTCAGGCAGGGCACCTCTGTCCTTGCTCCAAGTGATGCTGGTGGGAGGTCCGGCAGCAGCAGCCCCCAGACTACAGTCCAGCAGCACAGCTTGCTCTGGGTCCAGTATCACTTGCAGGGGCCCTGCTCCACAGCTCAGCTCCACAGTCGTCTGCTGCGTCAACAGCAGCTCCCCTGTGTAGAGGAGAGGGCACCGGGGCCATCAATGTGTGTCCCCCACCTCCCACAGCCTCCAGCTCCTGAGTCACCCACCCGGGGTGGGACACTTTGTGCAGAAAGATGTGTCATGGAAGGATGTATGTCTGGATGTTGACTCTGCCCCTTACTAACAGGGATCTTGAGCAAACTGCTGCATTTCTCCATGCCTGTCTTCCCTGGTTGCTCGATTTCCTTATCCACCAAAAACACACAGTTAGAGCAACATTAATCTTAACGGGCAAAAAGCAGAAGCAACCCAAATCCCCTGATGAATAGATAAATATATTACTCAGCCATCAAAAGAAATGAAGTACTGATACATTGTACAATATGGATGAACCTTGAACCTTTATGCTAAGTGAAAGTAGCCAGTCACAAAATGCCACATGTTGTATGACCTCATTTCTATGAAATATCCAGAATAGGCAAATCCATATAGACAGAAAGTAGATCAATGGTGGCCAGTGGCTGAGCACAGGGAAGAGTGATGAGCAGTGGCTAAGGGATGTGGGGTTTCTTTCTGGGTGATGAAAATGTTCTAGAATTAGAACCACTGATTTGTACACTTTAAATGTTGAATTTTGATATGTGAATTTTATCTCAGCTTAAAACAAAGTGATTCCTTCCTCATGGGGCTGTTGTGAGCATTAAATGAGATGATATGTGGGAAAGGAGGCTAGCACAGGGCCCGGCCCGGCCCAAACTGGGCTCAGTAATGTCTTTCCCACCCCTGGAACCTTACAGATTGCCTTGACCTCTATTATCCAACCCACTTCTGCTCCAGCGACTGCAGGAGCTCGGCATTCCTTCCTACAGCCAATCTCCCCAGGGCCCGGAGCAAGCTGGAGGCAGAACGTGGTGTCCTGCCCCTCTTCAGAGTCCCTAGAAGAGCCTGCAGCTCCAGCACTGCCCCTGCCATAGGGGAACAGTAAGGGAGCAGTGAATGCGATCTCAGGGTTAAGGCAAAAACACACAAAGGCCAATGTCTATCTTTCCACCCAGGAACCGTTATCCCTAGAGAAATGGTTGGGCCTCCCAGTTGTGTCTTCCAGGAGGTTGACTGCCACCTCCCTATCCAATAAAGGCACAGTGGCCCGTGGCCCCTTCCTGTTCTCTAGCCTGATACCTCATGTAAAGGCAGAATGGCATGTCTAAGGGTGAACCAGGGACAGAAGTGAGGGCAATGGCCCAAACTCATGAGAAGGCAGGTCTGGGCTGACACAGCCACGTGGGGGCGAGGCAGAAAGCACAATGGCCAGGGAATCAGGCAACCATCAGTTCTAGACCCACCTCAGTCACAGTCTAGCTGTGTGACCTTGGGCCAGTCCCTTCCTCTGGGCCTTATTTACCAAATGTAGCAGGTGATGTCTGAGATTTTATGATTTAGGACTATTCAGTAAACTGGACATTGTTATTCCTGAGTAAACATAGAACACAACCTAGACACACACAAATTGTAGATACAACTAACCTCCCGCACCTGAACACACAAAACCCAGTCTCTGCTACGTGCATCCAAACCTAGACACATATGTGCCCTGTCTGTCCCCAGGCTCCCTTCCCACCACCCCTAAAGAACAAGACTAAGGGGCAAAGACAAGTCCTGACTGGCTGAGAAAAGGAGGCCAGGTTAGAAGCCAGGGCTGATACTCCGGTGTGAAGGACACACACACAGATGGGCTGAACCCAGCGTCTGCCTTTCTTAATCCATCAGAAAGGCTCCCTGGCATCTCCAGCTACACAACTGGACTCAGCATTCCTAGTGGGTTCCAGGAGGAGAAGGCAGCCCTGCCTTCACCCAGTTTCTGTTTTAATTGGGGAAACTAAACTGGCATTCACATCACAGTTGGCCACTTGCTGCGGTGGAATAAGCACTTGACCTTGGGACAGAGGATCAAGGTTCCATTTTGATGCTCCACCTATAGCTGTGCGACAAGCCCCTTAACCTCTCTGGGCCTCAGTTTCCATTTCTGTAAAAGGAAGCCTGTGAAGATTTAACAAGATGATGTATCTCAGGGCTCCAGCCCAGAGCCTAATGGGCATCGATCAGAGAATGGGGACACATGCTTTGAAGACATTCCATAAACAATAAAGGGACATACAGGCATACCACGTTTCATGCTTTTTTTTAGAAATTGAATATTTGTGGTAATCCTGCAATGAGCAAGTCTATTGGCACCATTTTTCCAACAGCTTTCATTCACTTTCTGTCTCTGGGTCACATTTGGGTAATTCTCACAATTTCACACTTTCTTATTTTTAATATCTCTGTTATGGTGATCTGTGTTCAGTGACCCTTGATATTACTAATGTAATTGTTTTGGGGTCCGTGAAGTATGTCCACATAAGACTGTGAACTTGGTCAACAATGCGTGTGTCCACCTGCCCCACCCGCTGGCCCTTCCCCATCTCTCCCCTCTCCTCAGACCTCTCTATTCCCTGAGACACAACAATACTGAAATCAGGCCAATTCATAACCTTAAAATGGCCTCTAAGTGTTCAAGGGGAAGGAAGAGTCAATCGAAGCGCCATACTTCACTGCTCTTATTTTAAGAAATTGCCATGGCTGCCCCAGCCTTCACAACTGTCACACTGGTCAGAGAGCAGCCCTCACATCAAGGCGAGATCCTCCACTGGCAGAAAGATTATGACTTGCTGAAGGCTCAGAGGATGGATGGTATTTTTTTTTTTTTAGCAATAAAGCATTTTTAAATTAAGGTATGTACCTTGTTTTTTTAGACACGATGCTATGGCTCACTATAATAGCCAACAGTGTAAATATAACTTTTATATGCACTGAGAAACTAAACCATTCATTTGACTCACTTTATTGCAACACTGCTTTATTCTGGTGGTCTGCTTCAGAGCCCACAGCGTCTCTAAGGTACGCCTATACAAATGCTTACGGTCCAGTCCCTTCTCTCTCTGGGACCCGAGATTCTGTGTGATTCAAGCACAGAGCAGGGAAAGGCAAGTCAGGGACCTCGGCCCAGTGGCTTCCAATAGCCCCGTTCCAGCCACTGAACAGCAGGCTTGAGTTTTAGGGGAGAAAAGCCCCACATGACACAAATCCCTGAGCCCTGGGGCAGCTTCCCCACCCCCCAGAGCATGTCCGGGGCTTGGAAAATCCCCTGCCGTGCCGAACAAACATGTGAACAGTTGGGGCCGGCAGCTGCTGGGTATGTCAGCAGCCTGGGCTCTGGCGGGCAGGGTGGGGGCCAGAGGGGCCGGTGGCTGGCTGGGGAGCCCAGAGGAGGCTCTGATTCCCTTCCTGAATATTCATGGATCAGCAGATGTCTGGCTTCCCCACCTCTGAGAAGCCTGGCACCTAACAGGGTGGATGGGACCCCCCCACAGGAGTACAGGGCTGTCCAGAAGCCCATACCAGCCTGTGCTGGAAGAAATGTCTGTGACGCCTGACATCCTCATTTTTTAGGTGGGAAACTGAGGCCTGAAAGAGGGATCCCATCCCTCTGGCAGACAGTCTGAAGAAATAGTCCTCCTTTGGCCTTCTCGGGATGAACCCAGCATTGAGGGGACAGTTGCTCCCTAGTAACAGGGTTCTTTCTGCCTCAGCGCCCAATCCGACTTGTGAGTCCAGAGCATGGATCCTCAGGGACTCAGCTCAGGTGCCAGCCTCCCATGAAGCTTGCCCCTGCCTTCCCCGGTGAAATGAAGTCTTTTCCAAGTCTCACATTGCACAGCCACTTGGAGGTCCCTTTCCCATCCTTCCTCTTACCTAGATGGATAATGGGTTGTAGTGGGACAAGCTTGGCCTGGAGTTGGAGGCTGGGATCCTGCATTTGTTGTACAACCTTGGGTCTGCTACTTTCTTCTTTTTAGCCTCAGTGTGCCCAGCCTTAAAATGAAGTCTCCATATTTCTTATTTTCACCAAAATTCTCCCAGCAGCAGAGGAAAGCATATCAAGAGGCTTGCTGACTGCCCCAAATGTTTTTATTTTTAAACCTTGGGCACACTGTGTATCCTGCTCCATTACACAGCAATGTTTGTTTTAACATAAGTGTGGTTCCTACACCACCAAATCTTTTCGTAAAAGTGATGCTCTGGAGAGTGGGCCTTGTCTGTCCAGTGGCTTTGTGGCCATCCATTTCCTGCCAGCCTGGCCCACTGCCTGGCCCACGGCCACGGCTGCCATGGCCCACAAAGCCCCTCCCGTGAGTAGTTCTCGGCTGTCCCTCTCAGGACCAGGGTGGACAGGGCAGATGCCTGCTGCCTCGAGGAGACTCCCTCTCCCACAGTGCCTCCCCCTGAGGCTCCTCAGGGGGACCCTGCCAAAGACGAGAGCATCTACGCTTGGGAGCCCCAGGGCCACCTCTCAATCTCTTTTCTCTGACAGATTATTTTACCCATTTATGGGATAAATTAGGTTTTATGAGGCCAATTAGAACCCAGACAGAAAGGAGATTTGATGCTGAGCCCCAGGGCCGGCTTCATGCTGTTTCGTGGGATGAGCCCGGACCTGGTGTGAGCCAGAGTTCCATTTTTCAGTGAATTCTAAGGAAAAGAGTGGGTGGGGGAAGGGAACGGAGCCCAGGTGCCTCTTTCTTTAAGCCAGGAACTCGCTACAAACATCAGTGCCATGTCACTTCTGAATTTCAGGGCCACTTATTTTCAGTCTATGGGCAATTCTCCGTGACACCACCACAGCCCTCTTTTCCCAGGAGACACATGCCGATTTCTTCCAGAAACCTCTCCCTGCCCCCAACCTTGACTACCTCTCTTACCACACACTAAGCCCCTCCTACCAACAGCTGGAAGGAGGGCTTGGGATAGTTGCCTGGGACACAAGGAAGGCCACAGCGCTCCCTTCATTTGTGATCCTGAGGAAGAGGCTCAGCTGCAGGTGAACTGACAGCAAAGCCGCACTCAGCTCCTGCCTATCCCCTGTCCCCAGAGACTGTTCCCCATCAGCCATGCACTTCCAGCTCTCTGAAAGCCCTCTGCTGTTCCATGC